AAAAAAAAAAATTAAGGGTCCATGTGACATAGACCCTTACTGAACTAGAAAGATTTCAGAGCCTGTCAGCCCACCACAGAGCTCTCCAACCCGGGCTAGGATCTGCCCACAGGAATGTGCACAATTCTAGGGGAAGCCAAGCTGGTTGCCTCAGCCACTGACCCTCTCCTGGGGAGGTTAGCTTGGATTCCCAGAGAGTGGGGACCCTGCAGCTACCATCCCTGTTCTGCAAAATATTAGCCTTCTCTGTGTACTCTTAGCCCCATGAACTCTCAGCTTTTAGGGGAAGAGAAGCAGTTCCTCTTTAGAGTAGGAGAGGACTCTCATACCCACCCCCCCACCCCCAGGCCTGCAGGGCAGAGAGAGATGATGAAATTAGCTTAGATGAATTTCTTGTAGTTACAGATAAGACCTGGAGGACAGGCAGTATTCACTTACCAAAGGCTTATTAAGCATGTGCGGGTGGGTCATCTGTGTAGGTGCGTAGATGGCCTCTTCTTCCCGCTCTTCCTCTGTGGATACCAGAACGTTCCTAGGAATGTTGTAGTTCCCACCTCGTCCACATGGCGGTGCGCTGGTTACACAGCACTGCTCCTGGGACTGAAGCCCAAACTCAGGAGACTGACGCCTGGTTTGTCCTCTTGCGATGAATGTCTGGCTTTTCCTAAATTCTGACTGCCCCCACCTCTGCTGCGACAGGTCGGCGTGGTGATGACATTTCTGGTGCTGCTTATTTTCTCCTACAATGTCGTCTTCCTGTTCGTGGGGACAGCAAGTCTGGGCCTGTTCCTCAGTAGCACCTTCCCCAGCATGCTGGCCTACACGGAGGACACCCTCCAGTACAGAGGTGAGTGTCCAGGGGCAGGGAGGAAAGAGGCATGCTCTAGTGGGGCACCACTTCCCCACACTGTGCCCCATCTTTCTGTGGTATTCTAGGCTAGCACCACCTCCCAGTGAGATCACTACCCTACCTCCTCAGAGAAGTGAATGCTCCCCTCCTGACTTGGGTGGGAACGGAGTCACAAGCAGGGGTGGTTCTCACCCACTGGGTTCCTTCCACTCACTATTATACTTGTACTGATAAGATTTCAGCCCACAGAGATGCAGTTAAGCTTCTTTTCCATTTGCATTTCCCCCCAGCAGTGTCTGCTGACCTGCAACTGACGTTTTGTGTAACATGCGTGTGCTCAAAATGCCAAATTCAAAGAAAGGTAAAGCTGCATGGGAAAAGCTGTAACAAGGCTCAGCGCCTGTGGCTCAAGTGGCTAAGGCGCTAGCCACATACACCTAAGGTGGCGGGTTCGAATCCAGCCCTCCAAACAACAATGAAGGCTGCAACCAAAAAATAACCGGGCGTTGTGGCGGGCGCCTGTGGTCCCAGCTACTTGGGAGGCTGAGGCAGGAGACTCGCTTGAGCCCAGGAGTTGGAGGTTGCTGTGAGCTGTGATGATGCCATGGCACTCTACCCAGGGGGACAGCTTGAGGCTCTGCCTCAAAAAAAAAAAAAAAGGAAGAAAGAAAGAAAAGCTGTAACAAAGGAGAGGCATTTTGTAATTTAATTATCCGTAATAGTCTCTCCCTGCCCTGTTGTGGATGTTGTCAAAGTATAGGGGTCTGTTTGACGTTGTAATACAGCTGCTTTGATGTCAGAAACCTCTGATTCTCTCAACCAATCTCCCTCTTCTTTCCCTGCTCCCCCAAGTGCATATAGCAAAAAAAAAAATTTTTTTTAATGAGTTAATTAAAAATAATTATGTTTTGAATATTCAACGTTACCTTTGGGAGTAACTAGAGACCCCCTCCCTAGAGGCTGGAAAACCAGCATGAAGATGAGCAATTTCTTTAGAGAAGAGTGGGGGAAAATGTGGTACAGGTAGAGTCAGAGAAATTGGACCTGGGCCCTGCTCAGTTATTCGCAGTCATGGGGGACGTGGATAGTCTGGATCCTTGAAATTAAAGGATGAGACCCAAATAATTTGGGCACATAACGTCATCAGTTGTAAAGAATAGAATATTTTCTATGATTACACCTACACATTTTTTTGTTTGTTTTCAAAATGGAAAATCTTTTTGTTATAAAAGTAGTATATGCTCCCTGAAAAATCTTCAAACAATAGAAGATATTTTAGAACAGTCAGTGAAAGTAGCCAAAAATAACCCTCGTAGCGGTTTGTTTCCTCCCAGATCCCTTCTGAGCATATGAGATCATACTATAAGCTGTTTAAATGTTTATAATTTAGAAGAAAAATAATTCATGTGATAGAATGAATCAGCCAGGCTGGGCACAGTGGCTCATGCTTGTAATCCCAGCACCCTGGGAGGCCCAGGCAGGAGGTTAGCTTAAGGTCAGGAATTTGAGACCAGCCTGAGCAAGAGCGAGACCCTTGTCTCTATCAAAAATAAGAACATTAGCCAGGAACGGAGGGTGGTGTACCTGTAGTCCCAGCGACTTGGGAGGCTGAGGTATGAGGATTGCTGGCACCCAGGAGTTTGAGGTTGCTGTGAGCAGAGTGAAACCAAAACCAACAGCAATAACAAAAAGAATGAACCAATGAATCAAATAGATTTGAGTTGCTTTGGCTTCTGACTCCTCTGAGTTGGGAGTACTACACATGGTCCAAGTCAGGGTAGGCCTGGTATAAGTTCAGTTGAATCATGACTGGCCCTGATAAAAACTTGAGGGCAGAAGTCACATCATCCATTCAGTCATCATCCAGCCCATCATTTTGCTACTTAGGACTCTGTGCTGGGTCCCACGGGACACACTCAAGGAAACACAACCTCTCCCCACCAAGCTCATCCTAGAGACAGCAACAGCTGTTCAACCAACTCCCAGGGGTGAGGGCTCAAGCATGCTCTGACTCCTTCCTTCTTCAGACATCAATGTCTAAGACTCCAGGGAATAAATGAAGTAGTGAAGTAATGTTGCTATCACATGTCACACAGTGTATCCCACAGAGTTTTTAAGTGCTCAACAAATATTAGAGTTTAATAATGGGAAGTTAGGCTGGGCACGGTGGCTCACGCCTATAATCCTAGCACTCTGGGAGGCCAAGGTGGGTGGATTGCCCTGAGCTCACAGGTTTGAGGCCAGCTTGGGCAAGAGTGAGACCCTGTCTCTAAAAATAACTGTGCCTTGTGCTAGGTACCTGTAGTCCCAGCTACTTAGGAGGCTGAGACAAGAGAATCACTTGAGCCCAAGAGTTTGAGGTTGCTGTGAGCTACGATACCACAGCACTCTACCAAGGGCGACAAAGTGAGACTCTGTCTCAAGAAAAAAAAATGGTAAGTTATATTGATTAATTCTGCCTACAAAGAGTTATTCAAATCCATCCTCTTCATTTCTCATTGTCCCTGCCTAAGTTCAGGCCTTTGTCTTTGTTGACCTGCTGGGTAAACGGTGCTCAGCTTTTCCTAGTCTCTGGTCACCTCCATCCCTGAAGATAGATCTGGGCTGGTCTCCCTGTCTCCACTCCGCCCAGTAGCAAAATGCTAAGATCACTAGGAGCACTGGTAACAAAACTCAGGGACTAGGCCTCACCTCCCAGTCTGATGCAATTGGTCCAGAGCTCCTAGGGGATTCAGACAGGTAGCCAGGGACGTGGCCCACTTACTAGCCACTCCCCATGCTGCTGCTAAGGGCCTCCTTTAAAATATAGGACTGATGCGACCTTTAGACCTTCCTATGGAGCGCCTTTCTCCTCAGCTTATGTTCTCCCTGCTTCCCCTTCAAGCCTGAATTCTAGCCCTGAATTACTTGCTATTCTCTGATGGCACAAAAACTGTCCTAGGCCAGGCCCCAGTGGCTTACACCTGTAATATTAGCACTCTGGGAGGCTGAGGTGGGCGGATTGCCTGAGCTCAGGAGTTCAAGACCTAAGCTAGAGTGAGACCCCCTTCTCTAAAAAGAGCCAGGGGTTGTGGCACGCGCCTGTAGTCCCAGATACTCAGGAGGCTGAGGCAAGAGGATCACTTGACCTCAAGAGTTTGAGGTTGCTGTGAGCTATGATGCCATAGCACTCTACTGAGGGCAACAAAGGGCAAACAAACAAACCCCAAACTGTCCCTACTTTGGCACATGAGCACCCTCTGCCTGTAATGTCCTCTATACTGTGTCTCACCCCTTTAGCTGCCTGCTTGTCATTCCAGACCCAACTCAAGGCCCACCCCACCCACCAGGAAACCTCTCTGGTTCCCACTGGAAAGGCGTGCCCCTCTGTGCCCTTGACATTGCACCTGTCTCTCATGCTTCACCCATCTAAAGGCTTTTGTACCTATTATCCACTCCCTCTCCTAGACAACACACTTCCAGCAAGGGAGAAGGGAAAGAACAAGGGAGGTTATCAGCACACCTAAGTGCCAGGCGGGTGGACTGCCCTGGGCTCACAGGTTTTACTGGGTTTGTGACCTTGACAATTCCATTTCCTTCCCTTCTCTGAGCCTCAGTTTTGTTATCCGCAAAAGGAAGATGGAAAAGCCTACTTTTTAGGATCATTTTGTGCTTTAGAGAAGATGTAAAGCTCCTGGTGTAGCCTCAAAGCTGGCTTACAGGTGCTCAGACTGTTAACTCACCTGAGTATCCTCAGTGTTCATCGCAGTACCCAGTGCACAGAAGACCCTCCTGAGTGGAACAAATGGTTGGGTGCCACTGGAATTCAGAGAAGGGAGTGGCCAGTGTTGAGTTTAGAGATAGCTTCATGGAGGAGATGAGGTGTGAGCTGGCCCAGGATCGGGAAAGGCATTCCTGGGAGAGGTGGGGCCGTGAACAGAATGAGAGCACAAGCACAGAGACAGGTCTGAACACAAGTGAGACTAACAGAGCTTGAAGAAACACGAAGCCCAGAGTGATGATCATTGTACTCAAAAGTCAGTGTCTATCGTGTGTTAGCCACTGTGCTACAAGCTGGTAGATGCTATCGAGCTAAAGGACAAGGCATGGCTGTCCTCCCTGGGCCTTGGCCTAGTAGGGAAAGCCAGCCAGTCAGCAGACAGTGGGGTGAGAGAGCAGGTGCAGGGGCTGTTGCAGCAAGAGGAGCAGCTCATCCAGGCATAAGGACAGGGAGGGACGCTGCTATGGGAATCTCAACTAGGAGCTATAAGATGAATGGGAATTTTCCAGAAAAGAAGAGGAATAGGGATGTTCAGGACTGAGGGAAGGCATGTGTCAGAGCTGGAGATGAGGATGAGTGTGTAGGTCGAGAGTTTATTCTGGCTGGAGGGCTAGCTGTGAGCAGGCAGCATGGGAGATGAGCCTGAGTTATGACAGAGACAGATTCTAAAGGGCCCTGCAGACCACATGAAGGCACTTGGACGTTATTTCTGAAGGTGGTGTCAAAGCGCTTAAGCAGAGAGCCAGGCTGGTCTTGAGTGCTACTGTGTGCCAGCACTGTGCTGACACCTGGCATTTGCTGCATGAGAGTCAGCCACACAGCAATCCTGTGGAGAGGTGTCATGATGCCCATTTTACAGAGAGGGAAACCAAGGCCTGGTGAAGTTAGAGAACTTCTAAGGTCATATGGCTAGTAGGTGACATAGCTGG